TTATTTTTAAGTAATAGCATTACAACATGTATAAATCTTGAAAACTTATGGCATAAGTATTTTTTTTAATTCAAGTCTTTAACGACTAGTTCGTTTGTAGCTCAAGTAGAAGGGATTGTGTATTATTATTATTATTATTATTATTATTTTTGTGCTTTAAAGGCGTCGTAATAGTTTTCTTTGAGATTTGTTCCGCATTTGCAAGTTTTCATGTTTTGGATGGTATGTTCGTTATGCTATTTAACTCAATTATATTTCTAGTTTATTCAATATCGAGCGAGGTTTAATTGTCTTACTAATTCTCTTTACTTCTTTTATTTGCATGAACACTTCGGGAGCTAAATGGAGTCTTCATGAAAGACTCTTACCGCCGTATAGTCTCATGCTATCGCTAGACTATGAAAATGTGCATCCACTCTTTTACTTTGTGTCTCTCATGTCCTCAAGACTCATCCAGTAGCAAGGAAATCTGGAAAATGTTCCTTTACAAATTTCCTAGTTATTTGTTGTTATGTTGCTGTTGTTAATGTTATTTGTGGATATATGTGTTATGTGATATTTCTTACACTTTGATTGCTTGTCTAGGTGTAAAAGAAAAAATAAAATTCATTAGTTAATAGACAACTATTTTAGCTTTTGTTTACTTATTTTTTTTGCCTTCAACATCGACCGGTTTTTTTTTTTAAGAAAAGAAAACCTTTTAAGGATCTTAAATGTATCCTTTAATCTTTAAGTGTTTTCTTTGTTTAAAAATTGGTAATTTTTTTCTTTTTTCGTTGAAATTTTTCAACTGCAAATGTCTTAAAAGGTGCTTTAAGTCCTTACAGTGCTACTACAAACACAAATCTTTTTTATTATTTTCAGATCTTTAGCAATAAATTTTGGTTCAAACAAAGTTACTTCAAACAAATGATTTTCTTTTACTAAAGATTTGTCGTTCTATTTTAAACTCTAAAGAGTCTTTCCAGTGCATAATGTGTTATTGATTTCAAGGTGTAAACAATATTTTTTAAAGGCATGCATATTGACTTCATATATAGAGACTTTTCTTTTAGTACATTTTGGTACCAAACTTTGTACAAACAATTGTCATTTAAAACAAATGATTATCTATTTTATTTTATTTTCAGAAAAAAAATAAAATGTAAGTTCATTCTTTCAAAATATAAAAGAGTTTTTTTTTAATGTTAAAATGTTTTTTCCAACTCATGTTTTTTTTAATTCTTTAGCACTAATTTTTAGTTTAATTAATTAACCTATGTTTTGCTGGTTAACTGTTTTTAACAGATTTTAAAGGAAGCCTGACACCATCCCTTTAGGATAATTAGAACTCTTATCTAGAATTACATAGGTTTAGTAGACCATTTAATTGAAGTCATTTTAGTATTACTTAGTTAAATATTTAGGTGTCCTAATTCACCATAATTAAATTAGGTGGCGACTTCTTAAGTTATTTAATTTGGAAATCACCAATATGTTGTACACGTTTTGACCTCAAGTTAAAATGGGGTATAACAAGTCTTACTCCTAAAGTCTAACTCTCAAAACCTAAGTCAACTTTCACTCCCCACCCCTGACCCACCCTCGACCCACCCCTATCGGCGCCGATCCCCACCCATCCCCGACCGGCGCCACGCCACCATCCCCGACTGCCGCCACGCCACCATCCCCGATCGCCGCCACGCCACCTTCGCAACAGCAGAGGAAGGTCGCGGCAGCTGCAGAGGAAGTCACGCCCAGCAGCAGGAGGTCGTGCACCTCCATCCCTACCGGTGCTGCCTCCATCCCGACCGGCGCCGCCTCCATCTCGACTAGCGCCTCCATCCCCGACCTTCTTACTGAAGGTGAATTTTTAGAATTTCTATTTAGTTGAAGTATCTCAAAATTAGAGTACTAATATACTTAGTTTTATTGATTGTTAGTTTTATTGATTGTTAGTTAGTAAGTGAATGGTTTAGGGTTTTTGATTGTTAGTTTGAATTAGGGATTATTTGATTGTTAGTTTGTGTTTGTTGATTGTGAATTGAAAATTTTAATGTTAGGGTTAGTTTGAATTAGGGTATCTTAGGATTTGTTTGAAATTCGGTATTTCTTAAGTTAATTAGTTTGATTTTGGAATTGTAAGATTAGATTGAATTAGGGTATTTAAGGAGTTGTTTGAACTTGGGTATTATTTGAGTTAGTTTGAATTATTATTGAGATTTTAGGACTAATAGTTTGAATTTGGGATTAGGAATAACTAGCTAATTTGAATTTAGCATTTTAGTACTAGTTAGATTATGGGATTTTAGGGCTAGTTTGAATTTGTGATTTTAAGATTAGTTTGAATTTTGATTTTAGGGCTAGTTTGAATTTGTGATTTTAAGATTAGTTTGAATTTTGATTTTAGGGCTAGTTTGAATTTGTGATTGTAAGATTAGTTTGAATTTTGAATTTAGGACTAGTTTGAATTATTATTGAGATTTTAGGATTACTAATAGTTTGAATTTGGGATTTTAGCACTATAGTTTGATTTTTGAATTCTAGGAGTACTTTCAATTTGTGATTTTGAGACTAGTTTGAATTTGGAATTTAGGACTAATAGTTTGAATTATATTTGATATTTTAGGACTAATTAATAGTTTGAAGTTGGGACACTAGCTAGCTAGTTTGAATTTAGAATTTTAGGGATTTGAATTACAACTTAATTAGAACTTATAATTAATTATAACTTGAATTTACTATAAATTGAACTTAATTAGGAATATGAACTTGAAATTAGAACTTGAACTTGGAACTAATTAGCTTGAATATATAACTAATTAAGTTTAGAAATTAGATATGAACTTGAATTGAAACTTGAACTTATTAAAACTTGAATATATATATATATATATATATATATATATAACTAATATTCTTGGATATGAAGTTTATATTTAACTAATTTAAGAACTTTTCGTGCTAGGCAATTGAGGAAGCTCAACATCTAAAAAAGTTGATACAAGACTATATTGCTTCTTTCATCAAAGTTGGAGATAAGGTTGGTGCTTCTAAATTTCTTAAGTTAAAGTACAACTGTTTTCAGTAATGTGTTTGTGTCCATCTAGTATTAATTCTTAACTTCAATTTTGTGATAATTTTTTTGTGTCCATCGAGTGTTTGTTAAGCATAAGTACCAACACTAGTTGATCCTATAGATGACAAAATTGATTTTCTTGCAAGATCGATTTGTGTCCATCTAGTGTTGACACTTAGCTTTAAATTTAGAAATAATATATTTGTTATGTTGTTTAAATAAGTTAAAATGAATAATGTTGGTTTAGTTAGTGAATTTAGTTGTTGGAATTAAGTCAAAACTAATGTAGTTAAAGTTGAAAAGTTGTTATGTTGTTTAAATAAGTTAAAATAAATAATGTCGGTTTAGTTAGTGAATTTAGTTGTTGAAATTAAGTCAAAACTAATGTAGTTAAGTTCAAAAGTTGTTATGTTGTTTAAATAAGTTAAAATAAATAATGTCGGTTTAGTTAGTGAATTTAGTTGTTGGAACTAAGTCAAAACTAAACTAGGTAAAGTTAAAAAGTTGTTATGTTGTTTAAATAAGTTAAAATAAATAATGTCGGTTTAGTTAGTGAATTTAGTTATTGGAATTAAGTCAAAACTAATGTAGTTAAAGTTCAAAAGTTGTTATGTTGTTTAAATAAGTTAAAATAAATAATGTCGGTTTAGTTAGTGAATTTAGTTGTTGGAATTAAGTCAAAACTAATGTAGTTAAAGTTAAAAAGTTGTTATGTTGTTTCAATAAGTTAAAATGAATAATGTCGGTTTAGTTAGTGAATTTAGTTGTTGGAATTAAGTCAAAACTAATGTAGTTAAAGTTCAAAAGTTGTTATGTTGTTTAAATAAGTTAAAATAAATAATGTCGATTTAGTTAGTGAATTTAGTTGTTGGAATTAAGTCAAAACTAATGTAGTTAAAGTTCAAAAGTTGTTATGTTGTTTAAATAAGTTAAAATAAATAATGTCGGTTTAGTTAGTGAATTTAGTTGTTGGAACTAAGTCAAAACTAAACTAGGTAAAGTTAAAAAGTTGTTATGTTGTTTAAATAAGTTAAAATGAATAATGTCGGTTTAGTTAGTGAATTTAGTTGTTGGAACTAAGTCAAAACTAAACTAGGTAAAGTTAAAAAGTTGTTATGTTGTTTAAATCAGTTAAAATGAATAATGTCGGTCTAGTTAGTGAATTTAGTTGTTGGAACTAAGTCAAAACTAAACTAGGTAAAGTTAAAAAGTTGATATGTTGTTTAAATAAGTTAAAATGAAAAATGTCGGTTTAGTTAGTGAATTTAGTTGTTGGAATTAAGTCAAAACTAATGTAGTTAAAGTTCAAAAGTTGTTATGTTGTTTAAATAAGTTAAAATAAATAATGTCGGTTTAGTTAGTGAATTTAGTTGTTGGAATTAAGTCAAAACTAATGTAGTTAAAGTTCAAAAGTTGTTATGTTGTTTAAATAAGTTAAAATAAATAATGTCGGTTTAGTTAGTGAATTTAGTTGTTGGAATTAAGTCAAAACTAATGTAGTTAAAGTTCAAAAGTTGTTATGTTGTTTAAATAAGTTAAAATAAATAATGTCGGTTTAGTTAGTGAATTTAGTTGTTGGAATTAAGTCAAAACTAATGTAGTTAAAGTTCAAAAGTTGTTATGTTGTTTAAATAAGTTAAAATAAATATGTCAAAACTAGTTAGACTTAGAAAGTGGTTAAGTTGTTTAAATAAATTCAAATGTTATTTAGTTGATGGAATTAAAATTATCATTATTGTTTGTGTAGATGAATCCTGATCGTAGTTGGATGTATAATAGAAACAATCCTGGTCGAGCGGGTATGATTCCAGAATTTGCAGAAGGTGTCACTAGATTTATAAATCATGCAATGACACTTGATGATTTTTTAAATTCAAGATTGATTAGGTGTCTGTGTGTTAATTGTGAAAATGTGAGATATCATACAACAGAGACTGTTGCTATGCATCTTATGATGAATGGATTCAAAACAGGGTATACAGTTTGGACTAGCCATGGTGAGGTTGAAAGTGACACTATGTTTAATAACTTTGTTGTCGGTGAAAGTAGTAGATCTACCGAGCATAATTATTTCCAAGGTTCTAGAATGTCATATATGATTAATGATGCTTTTGGGATGCATTCTAATTTTGAACAAGGAGAAAATGTAGAAGAAGCTCCTAATGAAAAAGCAAACATCTTTTATGAACAATTGCGTGATTGTAGTAGTCCTTTGTTCAACGGGAGTCAACACTCTAAATTGTCTGTTACAGTTAGATTGTTAAGTATCAAATCTGACAATAATATTTCTCAAGGAGCAATGGACTCTATGATAGAACTTATGAAGGAATTAGTTGATCCCAATGTAGAGATTCCTGATTCTTATTATAAAGCAAATGCATTGGTGTCTAAGTTAGGACTCTCCTCGATAAGAATTGATTGTTATGAAAAAGGTTGCATGTTATACTTTAAGGAGGATGTCAATCTAGAGTCTTGTAAGTTTTGTAGTCACCCTCGCTATAAGATTGATTCTACCGGAAAAAAACTTGTTATTAATGCGATGCATTATTTACCTCTTATACCAAGATTGAAAAGGTTGTATGCATCAAATAGCTCTGCTCCTCATATGAGATGGCACCGTGAAAATAGAAGGCCATCTGGTGTCATGTGTCATCCATCTGACGGAGAGGCTTGGAAACATTTTGATAGAACTTATCCAGATTTTGCTGCTGAACCAAGGAATGTTAGGCTAGGCTTGTGTGCGGATGGTTTCACCCCTTTTTCAGTTGGGGCTACACCATATTCTTGCTGGCCTGTGTTTATTACACCGTATAATCTTCCACCTGAGATGTGTATGACAAGTCCATATATATTTCTGAATTGTGTCATTCCTGGTCTGAGTAATCCAAAAAGCAAGATTGATGTGTACTTACAACCTTTGATTGATGAGTTGAAATTGTTGTGGTCTGAGGGGGTAGAAACATGGGACATTTCTCGTAAACAAAATTTCAACATGCGTGCTACTTTAATGTGGACTATTAATGATTTTCCTGCCTATGGAATGCTATCTGGATGGATGACAGCTGGAAAGTTAACATGTCCCTACTGTATGGAAGATACTAAATCATTCACATTAAAACATGGCCGAAAGAATTCATGGTTTGATTGTCATCGTCGGTTCTTGCCACGTGATCATGAGTTTAGGAGAAAGAAATATGCATTTAAAAAGAATAAAACTGAACGAGATGGTCCACCACCAATATTAACGGGTGATGATATTTGGGAAAGGGTTCAAAATTTTCCAAAGGTAACTGAGGAACCATCGTACAAATTTGATGGGTATGGTGTTGCACATAATTGGACTAAACAGAGTATATTTTGGGAGTTACCTTATTGCAAAGATAATTTGCTTAGACATAATCTCGATGTCATGCATATTGAAAAGAATTATTTTGATAATCTGTTCAACACTGTAATGGATGTAACTGGCAAGACAAAAGATAATGTTAAGGCTAGACTTGACTTACCAGAACATTGTAGACGACTGGAGTTGCATTTACAGGAGTCTGCCAACAACAAGTTACTTAAGCCTAAGGCTAGTTATTCATTCACAATGGAACATAAGAGAAATTTGTGAGTGGGTGGAAAGCTTGAAAATGCCAGATGGATATGCCTCAAATTTGGGAAAGAGGGTTGACATTGAGCGTGGAATATTACATGGGATGAAAAGTCTCGACTGTCATGTTTTTATGGAACAATTCCTTCTGATTGCTTTTTGTGGATTGCCTGAAAACATATGAAAACCGATGGCTGAAATCAGTTTGTTCTTCAAAGACTTGTGTTCCAGCACATTGAGAGTAGAGAATCTGGTTGAGATGGCCAAAAATATAGTTGTTATTAGTAATAAGTTGGAGAAGATTCTTCCACCTGGGTTCTTTGATGTGATGGAACATCTTCCTATTCACCTTGTTCATGAAGCTCTACTGGGAGGTCCAGTTCAATATAAGTGGATGTATCCTTTTGAGCGGTAAGTAACTATAACACATTTATTCTTATTTCATAAATCGTTAATATATCTTTTGAAATTATATATCTAATATAAAATTTTACAGGAGCATTGGCAAGTCTAAAAGGGGTATTAAGAATAAACATAGGGTGGAGGGCTGTATGGCTCAAGTATATCTAGCTAAAGAAAGATTCCACTTTTGTTCTTACTACTTTGATGATTATGTGTCGTGTTTTAGAAACAGACCTAATCGACATGATGTTACTGGGAATGATCCTGCAGTACAATCATTATCAATCTTCAACCAACCGGGTAAGGGTTCAAAAAAGCGTACATTGCACAAACTTACCGAAAAGGAGAAAAAATCTGCAGAGCTTCATGTCTTGTTGAATTGTCCAGAAGTCCAACCCTTCTTAGAGTAAGAAAATTAAATATGTAAACAACATATATTCAACTCCGATTTTATTAAGGAAACTAACTGTATTTTCAATGTGATTCTACAGTTATTTTGTGAGCCAATATGGTCATGATCAAGTGTTTCCATCATTTATAACGTGGTATACTAATTGGGTAAGTGTTGTAATATATACACCTATTAAGAGATTAGTGTACTCTTCTTTCTACTAACATTGCTTTTAATTTACTAATTATATATAGGTCTACAATTCAGAAAATGTCGCCACATTTGATCAATTTTTCAAGGATATTTCTTGGGGACCGATTACAGTTCACACAATGTCCCAATATAACGTAAATGGTTTTAAATTTGCCATAGAGAAATACTCAAATAATAAGAAAACTAATAATAGTGGTGTTTGGGTTAAAGGTGATAATGGAAATCAAAATGAGAATGTTGATTATTTTGGCGTCCTACAGGAGATTGTAGAGTTGGAGTATTCGGGTTGGCCAATCAAAAGAATAGTACTTTTCCAATGCAAGTGGTTTGATCCAACTTCAAGAGGTACGAGGGAGCTTAAGCAGCATAATATCATTGAAGTCAAGCACACTAGGAAGTATAAGGCTTATGATCCTTTTATTATTGCACAAAATGCTAAGCAAGTGTACTATGCTCCTTATCCGTTGCGTAGGGATAAGTCTGATTGGTGGGTTGTAATCAAAACAAAACCGATGGGGCGAGTGGAAGTTGAGAATGAATTGGGTGTTGCATATCAAAATGAAATATCAAGTGTTCATCAAGTAGTGGATGCTGAGTTAGAAATGAATTTGGAGCATCCTGATCACATATTAGAAGAAGTTAATAGAGAAGAGTTAGATATGCCAACAAATATGGAGGAGGATGAGGTGGACACTTTTGAAGAAGATGAATGGATAGATGAGGAGGAAACTTCCGAAGATGATGCATGTGAATAGATAGATGATGAAGAAACTTCCGAAGAGGATGAATAACAATTTGTATGTTTAGTTGGTGGATTTTTAGCTATTCGTATTTGAGTATACTTTATATTTTAGTAGTTTTAACGTTTGTTCGACATTGTGAAAGACTATTTGGATTAAGCCTTATGTTATGATAACTTTGTTTGATATATTTGTTCGACATTGTGACATTATTTTGTACTACTTTGTTTTAATCTTTATATTTATTTGATATAGATGGTAGATAAAGACAAGGGTAAATCAAAAAAATCCGCTAATCCGAAAAAGAAATTTAAGGCCAATGCTATGAGAAGGCCCACTGGGGTCGTTATATCTGATGAGCCCTCTCGAGTTAATATTTCAAAAAGAGCCTCAGTTTCAACTACTCACTCGACACACCAATCACATGATGCCTCTACTCATATGGCTCCACAATCTAGTTATACTATATCTACACCCACTGTGGTACCTAGTTCGGGTTACCAAACATTGCAGGGCTATTCACATCTTGGTCGTGGGTCTAACATACCATCAGCTAGTGCTAGTCAGTGCAATAGTTTGAATACTAGTAGTGGATCAATTGGACTTTCCAATCATCATATTGAATCCAATGGCTCAGAGCCTAATACTCCCACCACCCAGCACTCAGATGCACATGGTCCTCAGCCAGGCGATAGAGACAATTTTCGGAGACTCGACATCGAGCCATTAGGATACAAGTATGATTTAATTATGTTTCATCTTTCATTTATCTATTTATATTTTAATTGATTGATTATTTTTTGTTTACTCTACTTCGTCAATGAACTCGTATTTCAGCTTACGTCCGGATGTGGGTATGGCAAAGATTATTTTAAAGTGCATCGGAACTCACTATAATGGTATGTATCTGAATTGGAGTTCGATTCCACTTAACGTCCAAGGGCAAATGTTCAATGAATTTTAGGTAAGAATATATATAAATTAAATTCATATCATATACATTTAAATTCTCTAGTCATTTGAACAATAAATATTTAGTAATTTTTTATTACAGAAATATTATGTATGGGCTCCCGAACACGAGGATGACGTTCAAGTGAACTTCAAGCTTAAAGCTTCAAAGTTGCTTTATAGCACATTTTGTGATTGTCGAAGAGAAAACATAATGCCTAAGTTTATGTTTCCGGATCGATGGGCTTTGTTACTGAAACATTTGAGTACTGATGAAACATTTAAAAAGAGGAGTGAGATTGGGAAAATGGCTCGCGCATCAGAAAAAAGAGGCTCTTTGCACACTGGTGGAGCTATTAGCCAGGTTACTAGGAAGGAAAGAATGGTATACTTTCTTAATTTAGTAAAATATTTTTTTTCTTTTTTGATAAGTACTTTTTAGAGTTTAATGAGATCAAATTCTATATATGTTATTTGCAGGAAAAAGAGTTGGGTAGGCCGGTAGCTGTACCAGAGATGTTCAAGGTTACTCACGTCAAGAAGAGTGCGAACCCCATAGAAGAAGAAAGATGGATTGAGCCACGTGCTCAAGAGACATATGTAAGAACTCCATTCAAACTAATTTTTTTTTCTTTTCCTTGTATATATTACATTCTTATTCGTAGAGTTCTTTGTTTAAATTACAGGATAGGTATATACGAATATCTCAGGAATATCGTAGTACTCTACCTCTTGAGAGTCAGGACAGACCATTTACACAAGAAGAAAACGAGAATCTTTGGAAACATAGTGCTGGTGAACCGATTAGAGGTTCAGTCTACAGCTATCCAGAAAAGGCATATCAGAAGAAGAAGTCTTGGTATTGTGGTTCATCATCCTCAAGCTTTGATGGTGGGGATAGAGAGACAATATCTGCAATGGAGAGTAAGATAGCTTATCTCAATGCCGAGCTTACTGCTGTAGCCGAAAGAGAGAAGAAGAGAGAAGAAAGAGAGAAGAAGAGAGAGGAGGAGATTGCGGCAGCAAAGGAGGTAGAGAACAAGAGGTATGCAGCGCTTCAAGCCCAACTAACTTTTCTTTTTGAATCAGGAAATATTCTTCCTCCATGTCCGGCTAGCAGTAATGGATCTGATTAGGAGGGTGATGAGAATGATAAGTCTGATAAGGAAAGTGAGGGTGATGAGAATGGTAAGTCTGATAAGGAGAGTGAGGGTGATGAGGAGTAGTTGTATCTATTTGACATTTTAGACTTCTATATTTTTGGAATTGTTTAATTTGATCGTATTTTAGTTTATTTTGAAGTTGGATGAAGTTTATTTTGAAATAGTTTAATGTATATGTTGAAAATATTGTGTTGTTTTGGTTGGATGAAGTTTATTTGGCTTTGGATTGTTTTGGTTGGATGAATTTTATTTGGCTTTGGGTTGTTTTGGTTGGATGAAGTTTATTTGGCTTTGGGTTGTTTTGGTATAAATATGCAGGTGGGCAACTAAAAATTGCAGCAATTTGCTGCCTGTTTTGCAGCAGAAAACCGACCTTCGGAGGTCGGAATTTCAACATTACAAAAATAAAAATATCGACCTCCGGAGGTCGGAATTTCAACATTACAAAAATAAAAATACCGACCTCCGGAGGTCGGAATTTCAACATTACAAAAATAAAAATGCCAACCTCCGGAGGTCGGAATTTCAACATTACAAAAATAAAAATACCGACCTCCGGAGGTCGGAATGAATATTCTGACATAAAATAAAAACCGACCTCCGGAGGTCGGAATGAATATTCTGACATAAAATAAAAACCGACCTCGAGAGGTCAGTAAATACTGACCTAGAGAGGTCGGTATTGAATAGCGACCAAGCTTTTTCCGACCTAAGCTGGGATGTCGGTTTTAGGTCGGTATTTCAGGGAATACCGACCTCCGGAGGTCGGTATTTATAGGTTGGTATTCACTGTTTTTTTAGTAGTGGCTATCCTCAATCTTCAAAAAAAAAATTATCATGACATAGCTCCTTAATAGTCTCAGGCATGTCGTCAAAGGTTTCTAATTCAATTTTCTCTTTACTAGAGTCACGATCCAAAGAAGTAGTAGTAATGTACGCAAGTGGCCAAGTCCATAAGGGATGCCACCATGGAAGCTGCTGTTCTGGAGATTGAGAACACTGAGGAAGGACAAATTGGCCAAAGACGGGGAAATTGTGCCTTGAAGTTGCAAATTAGGAAGAGTCAAGGCCACAACCCTTTGCCTCTTTGGAGTACAAGTGACACCAAACCAAGAGCAAAAAGAAGTATTTTTGGTCCAATTATTGGCCAAAAGATGATTG